ATACTGTGCCTCTAAGAACTTCAAACTTTGAAAATCACTGTCTATGGTGGAATCACCTCACGTTTGCTGCCGCCATTTTCTATCACTACCCAGTGCATTTTCTTGTAAACTTGGTGATAGTAGTAGGAGGAGAAAAATACTGGCGGGCTCTCATGGTCAGCGAAAGCTCAGGGTACATAATAGTGAAGGTCCAAAAGCCTATATTGGATAGACGATCCAGTCTGCAGTCTCCTTCAACTTGATCACACGTAGATCTGAACTGATTCATTCATTCATAGTCCATTCTATCTGATCAACCCTGGAGGCCTTACGAAATGTCTTTGATTTTACATAATGGATGAAACCTCTGACGTTAACCAGACCCGTTTTCGAGGTGCGCCCCGCACTTCGACGCCTAAACCATACGTGTGTAGTAGTACGCCACCTGCTGCTACACTTCTTCTGTCCCTAAATGTATAGACTTCAAACGTAGTATATGAAATGTAGTATTAGAAATTATGGCATTTGAGAAAAATCTCAAAAACCGTTTTTGGAAATTCAGATGGCTACATGGGCCCGTCATCTTCATGATGTTTTCTACCTCTATGGATTATCCCTAAATGATTCACTGACGCTGGACCCAATCGGTGGAGTGTCTAATGCTACGGCTGTTTCTCAATCAATGGAACGAAGTTTTCTAGGTGAGGATCCTTTTCAATCGAATTCTATCAGCATAAATAAAGGAAAACTGAGGATTACTCAGTAAGCCTTGTGCGCAGCGGAAGGCATCTCATTCTCTCTTACGCGAGAATCAAAAAAAGCTATAAATTTCGCTTTTAAGACCGAAAATATTATCGAAAAGCATATTCGCGAATAAACAGAATAATCTTGGCGAACTATAATGCGATAATAAGCAATTCGTCGTAAATAAAAAGAAAACATCATAAGTCCGACGAGCGGAGAGAGAAAGAGGTCCTCAAGTTGAGCTTCAGCCTGAGGAATAACATACATCCGGTTGTACGATAGAAGGGCTTCGCCCCGATGAAGGCAGAAGCTGGACGCGAGCGTCTTGGTCCAGGCAGCGGCTCGATTCCTCGGAGAGTGATCTGGAGCCTTTGTCACGTCCTGGAAAGCATCATGTGAGTCAGAAACGGTGGAAACTGCTACGACGCGAGCTGAATAGGGAGAATTTGTAGAGAAGAATGAGAATACCTAAGCCTTTTATAACTAGAAACTTTGGTCACTTACGCTCTTAAGGATAACGTTGGGAGATTTTTATACTTTTACCGTTATTTATTTATTTATTTTGCATACAAGATGCGCCAATCATGGTAGGGAAACAATACAGAAGTACACAACACAGAAAATCCAAAAAATTGGTCATCGCCATTACACTCACTAGACGACATTTTTGCACGTAAATAAAATTTAAGTGAAAGGAGTAAAAGGAAGTGAAGATTTTCGCTTGACTTGCTCCGCTCGGTGGAACGATGGAGCTAAGGCTGACGAGCTCATTGCAATATCATTCTCTTACCTACTCGATTTCCTGCTCTTCCTTTTTTGTTGGTCGGCAGAGACGAGCCATAATTTATTCATATATTTATACACTCCACTGAGTAAGTCACAACTAACAAGGAAACCATCCGACGAAATTGTACAAAGTTATACCAGAAAGGGAAAGAGAACAGAATAACTGGCGCTTACCAAATTCCAGAAGCTACAGTGATAGAATGCAACGGAGAGGCTCTTGTAGCTAATAACCGCACCAGTTGGTCATGGTGCCCTCATTCCGTAAGGAGTCATAGACAAAGCCGGAACTTTGACATACTGGTATGTCAACTTCCCTAGTGGAAACGACTTGTAAGCTAGTGGCTGAGTAGCAAGAAGTGGGCAGTTGAGCAAACATAATCATTTCGCCTTTCTTCTCATTTACTTTTCTAGCGGCAATGAGCTCTTATACATTTTTTTCATATTTATGGGCTATTGAGAAAGATATCAAGAAGTCTTTAGACTGGATATCGCTGATCTTCGCACTTATACACTGAAGAATGCTCCAGCTTAGTTCAAATATTCACGTGTACGGTATGCTTTAAAGTGAGACCATCAAAAGTGATCGGCCTTGTTCGGGATATGCTTCTGTGGGAGATATTTTTTAGAAAAAAAGAAAAAATAAATGCGAACGTTATCAACAGATCACGTGTATCACCTGTAGCATCATCGGTATCGGAGTGCGAGTTGGAATTCTACCTCCGGGCCGACTGCAATCCTCAGATTATTCCAACGTCAGTCGGTGCTCGGTCTAATCCAGTGGTCCCGAGAGTCATCGTCAAATGCAAAACGTTATCGGCTCACCTAATCTTCAACTCGACATAAGTGCGGCAGCATTTCTTGATCCACGTTACTCGGTGAATTTCGAATTTCTTGCACCCTGATACTTCCTTGAAGAGCTGAATCAAGCTGACTGCATGCTCACCCTGCCTAAGTGGAGACCAGGTCTCCAAAGGCAAGTCAAACAGGAAGAACAACATTACAAGAAAGCTGGTGCAGAGTTAGACACGCTCTGTTTGTTTCAGTACTTCGCCGAAAATTGACCATATACCCCTTCTGTCCTACAAGGTAAGGTTTGACTTTCTGTGGAAATATTGCTACCGTTTTTTCAATTGACAAGTTGATTGCGAAGATGACAGCTCATTTCTCAAGGGTTGACTGGATTGGTTTCCATAAACTCAAATGGAACTCGTATCCCGCTGTTTTCCGTTTACGTACTCGATCCAAACTTCAACCAAGTGACAGCAATAAACTTTACAGTGGTTGACGAAACACCAGTGAGCCAATTCCTTCTAATTTACCATGTATTTGAGTTTATTATTGCAGCTACAAAGATGTTGTAATGTTAAGGTGATGATAAAGGGCTACACGAACGAAGCGACAACTCTTTGGGCTACTCGAAATGGTCAACGGTAAGTCCTCAACTCACATTAATCAGATGAAATTTCATCTCCTCATTCATAGGCCTCTTGTTCGCCCGAAATGTGGCTACACAGGAGCTGACTGCCCAATACCATTCTGGGACCAGTACCGTCTATACGTTATCATTGGAGCAGCTCTGATTGCAGTGCTGTTTGTGTCTGCAATTGTATTCGTTTTTTATATGATAAAGTGAGTTCATCTTCACGTGGAAAGCTCAGTTTTCATTGAGCTTTTTACTACTCGCAGATTGATTGTTGAGGATTAATTGTTGATGTTTACATTTAGTTTCATCTCGGTACTCGAATTAACGATGGTGGTTTATCGTTTAGAATGCGCCGCAAACGCTAAACTCGTTAGTAACTTGACTGCGTAATTGCAGAACGCTGTTTGATGGCTCTTTCAGAATTCTCGGCATTTGGTAGGAGGGGATGAGGAGGGTGCGGGGAGGGAGGGGGTGCGGAGTTACACAGCTGACGACGGAGAGGCGAGAAGTTCAATAGAAGTAGAAGGGAGTTGAATCAGAACGACGATAATGACGATAAAGTCAAACATGCAGTAGGAACGTGGTACCTTTTTGAGTGAGCGTACGTAGAGTTATTGAGAGGAATCCTTACTACCATGTTCAAAACTGTGGTACCATTGTTAGGGGCAGTCGTCAAGAGAAGTCAATGAGTAGGGCTGTCTGAAAACCTAACTTCAACAATTTACTATGTATTTTGACGAGTTTCCAAATATCAAACTTTCAGGTTACGTAAGGAGGAACGAGAACAGCAACGCTTGCTGTGGCAGATCCCTTATGTGAAGCTGAGAAAACCGCCTTCATCGGTGAGATCCTAATAGTAAGCCCCTAGCATAGGTTTATGAATCCTCGATAGACTCCACACCGACAAGAATTATCAGGTTATGTGGAAAGTGTATTCCGAAAACTTTGCAACAGTTCAGATTTTTCTAAGGATTCCCTTAAACCTCGATAGGATTTCTATATACCCATGCGTATACGCATAACCCATATGGTTATCTCTTTCTTCCTTGATCATGTCTACCTGTCTACCGAACTGTCTACCCATATTCAAAACGTAATTCTTGGCTAGTCTGAATCCGTCTACTGAAAACCATGGAAACTTCTGCTGATTATTTGGCCTTCGAATTCCTTGCAAGCGGTTCTGCACACGCCTCGTTTCGATGCTTCAGAGCCAAAACAAAGAAACCTCGATGAACCTCGATCTTTTAGACGATTGCAATGTTATGAAATCCCCTAATATGTTATGGGCATGGGAGCGAGTGGTGTCCCTTCACTTATTTCTATGAGTGTGCCTCTAGATCATTCCGAAGGAATCTGGACTAATGTGAAATTTTCGGCAGATTATTTCCAACATCGTGATATTTCATTGATGCGATTATTTCGAGGGTTTTCCTGTTCTATGGTAAATATTATTCCCATGTGTTGTATTGACTAAGCGTGTTTAGCGTGAACTTCAACAGCAGAGCAAGCGATCTCTCCAGTCGGGCAAATCAGTGATGACGGGAGATTCTAAATTGACAGAATCGAATTTTGGCGATTATGAGATCTACTACCTCGAGAACGAGCCCGTTTTGACTACAAAATATTTTGCGACTGGCCTTACAGAGGAAGATCAATCTAGATTTCCACAGGTTTGCATCACTGTCACTTACTCCACTCAAAGATATTAATGATGAACTACGCGAAAAGAGATAAAACACTCTATCACTACAATTTCACATGAGATTGACAAATATCGTAATGGCTGACGATAGGGCGAATCCGCATTCTTTGAAAACGGATAACTCAACACCCTACAACACGTTCGGGAACCTCGTTCGGTCATCACACAATCCGAGGCAAATGGAAGTATAGTACCTTCTTCATTGCCAGAATCAGCCATCGTGAGCGATGGTTCAAACCGCTATCCAGTGTTCAGAATCCCTGATCTCAAATAAAGAGAGACAGTGCACTCTCCTTTCTTATTCGTATTTGGCCCTTTTCCATTCCCTAATATCTTAACGAGTAGCTCAAGCTGTCAGTTATTCAGATGAGGAAGCTAGATCACGACAATGTTAACCGATTCATCGGACTCTCAATAGATGGTGCCGAGTATGTGGCTATTTGGCGTATGTGCACCAGGGGCACTCTACAGGTGTTCTCTGCTAACGTTATTTAATTTCCTATTCCAACTATCAAATGCTGCTTTCTTGGAAACTTACATTTACATTTAAGGAGTTGATTTTGAAAGGCTCTCTGTGGTTTGATCCGTTTTTCATGCTATGTATAATGAGGGATATTGCAGAGGTACTTAATTCCGAAATAGTTGATATTGGACACCTATAGTATCATTTCCAAAAGTATCGTTGTAGGGGATTCGATTCCTGCACAACTCGTTCATCTCATCCCATGGTCGTCTTCGTTCAGACTGTTGCCTAGTAACCGATAGCTGGCAAGTCAAAGTTTCCGACTACGGTACCGGATCATTGCGCGAAGATGATCGTCTTATGAAGAAACGTGAGCATTTTTGGAACATAGCTGTAAATGGAAATATAATAAAGGAGACCATATTTGGGTGCTTTCCGAAGGTGCCAAAACTGGCTATAACTCTGAACATCTATGAGAGCTAATCAATTCAATATTGCATAGAGATCAGCATGTAATAAAGATGAGGAAGCTTCGGTCGGAGACCAATCTCATCCTGGAATTCACTCTCGCATCCGATCCCAATCAGAATTGTAGTGGTGTAATGAGTGCTATGTGACCTATCTGGCACTTTTAAGTATTCAGCCGATATTCGAGCTTCGTTTTTATTCTTTCATACGAGTCTAGAACCAACTAACGATGGGTGGAAGGCTCGATCAGTTCGGGAGCGTATCAGCCCAGTGTTCGTTCCCTGGGCTATGCATGTGTGATAGTGCACCACTTGCTATTACACTCCATCCGTCTGTAGGGAATAAATTTTATAGAGAGAGAAGCAACCTTTCAAAAAATGGCATAATGGCTATTGGCAGATCGAAAAATAGCTAGCCAACGAAACTACATAAAATTGGATAGGTTATATAGTAGCGCTCTACTCGGAACTATTCATTTTGAGGATTATTGTGGATGGCCCCCGAACATATCCGATCTTCCGAATCTTCAACGAAAAGCTCTAAGGAAGGCGACATTTACTCATTTGCTATTATCGCCTCTGAGGTCGTTACGCGAAAGCCAGCATGGGACCTGAGCGTGCGAAAAGAGCGAACGGATGGTAAGAAAAAGAAATTTTAAAGGTGCACCCATTATCCCTTACCAGTTTTATTCCATCTTGCCATTCCAGAGCTGCTTTATCTGCTGAAGAAGGGAGGACATGCGCCACCACGACCAGAACTCAACTCTGACGGCGAAGTCAATGTATCGCTGGTAAATGTTGTTGTAATTCGTCTCCAGCGATTCCCATTACAGACTATTGAACATCAAATACTGTAGATAATTTCACTGCTTCCTTCAGTCCTTCAATTATTGATGGACTGGAGGAAGGGATGAAAAATGATAATCCCAATGTTAGTGATCATTGTTACTGCAGCCTTATCTAGATGGTTTCAAACTTCACTGACGTCACCTTCCTCGTGTACATAAGTGGAAAGTTTAGTGCAGTTGATGTGGGTGTGTGCAGATGAGCAAGAACGAGCTCAGTATGAGTATGAGTATGATGTATACTCTCCATATGTATACCCTTTCATTGGTATACTTACTGTTTTAAATCAACACAGAAAGGTCTGAACATCTCATGGCCATTAATATGAACTCGCGCTTTGCAGCTTCATCTCATACGTGATTGCTGGAGCGAAAAGCCAGGTGATCGACCAGATGCTGCTACACTATGCAAAATCTTAAAGGTGAGAGCATGTTTGAAGTGAAATCTGACTCAGAGGAACAGCATCTTGGAAATTTGCTGAGAGGCGTTGTTTCGTTTAGTCAATGATGCCAGATACAAAGAGTAATCTGATGGACCATATGTTCACTATGCTAGAGGACTACACGACGACCTTAGAGTTAGATGTTGAGGAAAGGACAAAGCAATTGAAGGAAGAAAAAAAGAAAGCTGACATACTTCTGGGTAGAATGTTACCAAGGTGAGAACTTACTTCCAATTTCAAATGATTTGAAAACGATTCTACGGAACCTTGATGGAAGGTCCAAACTTCCCAACTAAGGGAAACCGTGTTTCTTGATGTCTACGTCTATTCCTTACACCCCGAAAACTACACTCCAACTCATTCCTTTGGAATCAACACTTCAGCCTCCGTTTTCTCATCCCATCAATGAAGCTCCTTTGCGAGCCTGTACAATCTCTCGAATGGGTTCGTCTGAGAGACCATTATGGTAGTCCCGTTGGTTCTTAAGTGAATATGATTCCAACGATCACTTGTATATTGTAGGCAAGTGGCAGATCGCTTGAAACTGGGCCAGACAGTCGAACCTGAGAGTTTCGACAGCGTCACTGTGTTCTTCTCCGATGTCGTCAAATTCACTCAGTTAGCCGCCAAATGCACACCTTTTCAAGTATGACCTTCCATTTTCATTACTCTCCATAGTCTAATGAATATTCATGCTCTCCATTGCAGATTGTAAATCTTCTCAACGACCTGTACAACGGATTCGATTCAATCATTGAGGAGCATTCCGTATACAAGGTAAAGAATTCGTAAAGACTGAAATTTTCCTTTTGCTAGAAATTCAATGCTGTGCTAGTTCCGACAACCGCGAAAAGCTTGCTATAGAAATGATTCCTCTACAGAGAATTTCGGGCAGAAGATTCGTTGACGAAGGATCTAATGAGGATGACGAAAGTCGAATCACCGAGCCCATCTCTGCCCCAAAATCCTGAGAGAAGCGGGTTTAGAAGCTGGAGAGGTTCATGGCACTCAATGCATCCAGCTGATAAATCCCAGTACTGCAAATCGTCCAAACCCTTCCCTCATCACCATCACTTTGCTCAACTTTGAAAATGATTGCTCCGAAGTCTTGGGATTTTCGCGGCTTTTCTAGTTTTCTTCACCTTCGATCCTCTGCTTAACCCTGTTATAGGATAAAAAACATGAAATTATCGCGAAGACGATAGATAGAGAAGATTCTCATTGGCAAGGGAAACAAGTAGATTATAAAGCTGATAAAAATGTCTTTACCAGGTGGAATCGATTGGTGATGGATACTTGTGCGTCTCTGGTCTGCCAGTGAGGAATGGTCATGAACACATCAGAGAAATAGCCGAGCTCTCTATATCTTTTATGAAGTTTGTTGACGAGTTCAGGATATCGGCTCTTCCAAGAGAAAGAGTTCAACTTCGGATTGGTGTGAACTCAGGTAAGTACTCAACACACTATCTTTCTACTCAAAGTAATGAACTTCTGCGATGCTTCGGA